TTTCTATATAGTCTGTTCTGGCACTTTCACTTTCTACTCTCTCTCTCGCCCTGGAGTCATTTTTTTCCTCTTTTACTGTCTGCTCTCTCTTTGGAGTCTTTTCTCACCGTTTTACCACATTTTACTTTCACTTTCAAGTCTATTGTCTAACTTGTCCTAGTATTGTGTAATCAAGTCCCTGCTCGGGTGCCATTTGTGATGGACTCCGGGTTATGCTGGGGTATGCTCATCGGCTGCCGGGTTCTCAACAAAAAAAATAAGAGTTCGTTTTTCGGTTTATAGCAAAGCACTCGTCTGTCTTGGTCGTACGTTAAGAGGACGGGAGTAGAACCTAGCCGTTCCCGTTGGTGGGCGTAGCTACGTCTCCGTATGATTATATGCAGTTCAAATTACTTAGTGCTGTACAATATGTGGCTACAATTCAAAGTATGTATTACTTAACAGCTATATACAATTGTTAATATATATTTTATGAACAATTCAATATATTATATGTATATGTTTTGGGGGCTCCAAGCCCTAGGATTGGGGTTTCCACAGTGGTCAAATACCCGAAAAAAGAACGACCAGAGTCCGAGTCGTCTTCAATGCATCGAAAAGATCGGGGTCCGGATATTCTCTGAACGATGTTCTTTACACCGGACCGACCCTCCAACCCGATTTGATGTTATTGATCCTCAAGTCGCGTATGTATCGATTTGTCTTTAACGGCGATATCGAAAAAATGTATCCACAGGTACTGTTGCACAAAGACGACCAAGACTATCAAAGAATCGTATATAAGTTTAAAACGGTCACGTTTGGTTTGAATTCCGCACCCTACCTCGCTATACGCACCAGCCCGCAAATGAAGTGTAAACCACCCAGCCTCTAGCGGTTCCCATATTAAACGATGAAACGTATGTTGATGATATATTTTCCGGTGGTCATGACCTCCCTTCAGCCGAATAATCCCTTTTTCAAGTCATCCAAGTGCTCAATTCGGCAGGCTTCCCACTTAAAAGCGTCCTCCGCCAGTACTAAACGACAAATCCTCTCCGCAGTCGCCAAATTGTTTGACTCCGCAAGATGGCTTAAAAATCCTGCTTCAAGAACTATGGCTGGACGGAACTGACTGGGATGACCAGGTCAAGCCCCTCCGTCTGACGAAATGGGTGCAACTTGCAACCAATCTCCAAGCCATTTCTAGCATCCAAATACCCCGATGGGTAGATTTTGTCCCCGCCGAACAAGTCGAACTACATGGCTTCTGTGACGCCTCCGAAAAAGCATACTGCGCTAACATATATGTGCGAACCACGAATGGTAGCACGACCCTTTGTTGTTGTTGTTGTAGCGGCTACAACAACCCCGCCCTGATCGGTTGTTATCTCAGTCATTGTCGTCAAGTTCCACTAACGGCAGACCTAGGAAGCGTGCAGCTTCTATTGGGTTGGTCCACAAGGACAAAGCCGTTAGGGTTGTCGGGTTTTCCGGGCATGCGAAGAGATGTTTCGAGTCTTGTGGGGTCTCTCCGCATGCCGGACACTCATTTGGAACATCCTCATTCAATCTAGTCAGGTAGGAGTTTAACCTGCTGCAGTAGCCAGAGCGGTATGCATAGAATGGCATTCACAGGTCTAGAGTCTACATAACTCGAGACTGACTACCTGTGAATGCCGTTCATGGCCAGTTGGTAAGCTGACGGGTCCAGAGGTTGCTTGATGAACCTCTGGACTTCGTCCGACAGTTCATATAGATGCCTCCCGACGTGCCTAGGCGAGGGTTCCTCTGCAAGCAGCTGTCTGTTTGGGTGGCCTCTTCTGTGGCTCCCGATCAGGAACTGCTTGCAGAGCATTATGTTGGGCTCATTTATGGGGAGCATTTGTGCCTCGTTGTGGAGGTGAGGTTCGGACGACATCAGGAGGCATCCTGTCGCTGTCCTGAGTGCGGGTAGCAGGACCTCCCCTCATCTGCTTGTCTCCAAACAAAGGCAAAGTAGCGCCTCTCCGAAACACGAGTTTACCCCGACTTGAATTGTGCGGCGCCCTCCTCCTAGCGAAACTGGTCGCCATAGTTCAGTCTCAACTCGATCTCTCTACGTGGAAACTGACACTGTGGTCTGACTCCGTGATCGTCTAGGCATGGCTAGAAAAACCCGATCATCCATGGAAGACCTTCGTTTCCAAACGCACGGCACGAATTTTAGATCTCGTCGGAAACGCCACCTGCCGACATGTGGGCAGCAGAGACAACCCCGCAAATCTGCTCCTCCATGCAGAAACTCGTCTCATGCAGCAAGTCACAAGGCAGGAATTTTATATCCCTCTGCTTAAGCCCCTCATAAAAAAAATTAATTTTTCAATGTAAAAGTTGCACGGTCCACAAGCAACAAACGCTCTTGCAGATAATGGCGGCCCTCCCCTCAAAACGATGCACATATGCTCCGCCTTTTACTATTACTGGCGTTGATTTTGCTGGACCATTCCAGATAAAGGCCTCAATGCTAAGATCGCACACGTTGGTGAAAGGCTATGTGGCTGTTTTTGTATGTTTCACTACAAAAGCAGTCCACCTCGAGCTGTGCTCTGACCAATGCCGGAGTTCTCGCTGCGTTTTCTCGCTTCGTCGGACGATGGGGTTATCCCGCTAAGACAAGAGCAAAACATTTGTAGGGGCCAAACGAGCAACCGAAAAGGAGTTCATCGAATTTTTGAAGGAGGTATCTCAAAATGTCATCCAGAAATACTCCCCTCAAGCCATCAACTGGAAATTTATTCCACCCGGCGCCCCCCACATGGGCGGTTTGTAAGAACCCGCAGTCAAAACTTTCAAAATGCATCTCAAAAGGACTGCCGGACCCAGCAAATTCACCTTTGAAGAATTCACCACCCTATAAGTCCGGATAGTGGCCGTATTAAACTCCCGGCCCTCTTGTTGTGGTTGTTTCCCCAAAAAAAAAGTATACCGTTATACTCAGTTCAATCATCTCTATCGATCCCAATATTTTTTTTTTGAGATTTGGAGCCAAATTGCATTTATGCCCATTTTTATAAGCATTAATTGTCAAATATTCAGTAAAAGGACAATGTACACTCCTTTGTTTACTAGCAATTACCCGGCGTGCTTCGCTGCGCCTTAAATCAATTTTTGTGTTGTAACTCTCCCCCTAAGCTCTTATGGCCTCATTTACAAAATATTTTTAAAGAACTTTATGAAGTTAGATTTAAGAAAAAGTCGATCTGTGAAGCATTGTTTATTTTTTCGAGTTAATATCTTTTCGAAGGTAATTAGAAAATATGTAAAGTGGCGACTTTCTCTTGGAAATTTAATTTATAATCTTATAACTGGAGTCTACTATCGCACCCTTTCCTCAAACGTATATTAATTCAATATTATAATAACGTATATTTATATAATTTGAAAAAATCTCCCTACTATACAAATATGTACTGCAATATTAACTAATATTTTCAAATGTTGTGAGAGGGAGTAACAAAACAAAAATACTTTTAAGGCGCAGCGAAGCCCGCCGGGTATTTGCTAGTATCTAATAATCAAATTAAATTAAAATTTTAAAACAGGTGGCAACCACCCAAAATAATATTTTCGGCTGTAACAGCCATACCTAACCAAAAGCATCAGCGTTGTCTGGCTGGCAAAAAATTCCTATGATCATACAATTTGTATGAAGCATACCGAAATAAAGCGGCGTCAACGCTTAGCGGTTAGAAGATCCGAACTTGACAGAGCATTGGGAAGTGAAGTTTGCTGCAGCAAACGGCGAAACTATCATTTTCGTAATTCACATAAACAAGCCTATGCTTATTGTTGGTGTTATTTATTCATTTGACGTAGCGTTGCCGCTTTTGTTTAGGTATTACTCTTCGGCGTTAACGCTAGGCGTCAGAAATCGCTCAGCCCAACGCTTTTGTGTGGGTATGACAGTAGGCTTTCTTTA